CTCTCTCTCTCTCTCTCTCTCTCTCTCTCTCTCTCTCTCTCTCTCTCTCTCTCTCTCTCTCTGTTTTTTTGAGACAGGGTGTAACAGTCCTAGCTGTCCTGGAACTAGCTCTTGTAGGTCAGGCTGGCCTCAAATTCACAGAGATCTGCCTGCCTCTGTCTCCTGAGTGCTGGGATTATAAAGGCGTGTGCCACTGCCGCCCGGCCCAGCTTCACGTTTTCAATTTTACCCTTAATTATATTTATTTTTCTTAATTTTAGAGGAAAACACAAACTCCTTTGGGGTGGGGGTGGTAGTGGTAGTGACCTCTGTGGTCAGCCTCTTGTACACAATACTCACGTGTGTCAGAGTCATGCAAAATGCTTGTTTAAAACCTCTAGGTTTGGGCGTAGCTAGAGGGAGAGGGCTTGTTGGTGTGTTATAAGGACCTGGAAATAAAAAATGAACAAACAAGCAAGGAAATCTCAAAACAAAACAAGACTCCTGGGTCCAGCCCAGAGAGTTGGACGTTCCTAGAGCTGGAAGAAGATAGCAGTAATTTGCACTGATAAAATACTTCCTCAGGGCAGGGCGGTAGTGGCAGCGCGTGCCTTTAAACCTAGCACTCAGGAGACAGAGACAGACAGATCTCTGAATTCGAGGCCAGCCTGGTCTACAAGAGCTAGTTCCAGGACAGGCTCCAAAGCTACAGAGAAACTCTATTTCGAAAAAACAAAAACCAACCAACCAAACAAACAAAAAAAAAACTTCCTTAGGGCTCAGCTTCCCGCACTTCTGTCCTTTCCTTCTGGAAGAAAACGGAGCTCCACCCATTGGAGACGGGGCTTGTTGCTTCCGCCTCCCAGCACGATCCCTCCGTTCTCATTGGCTGTCGCTGGGAGTCACCACAGAACGGTCGCTCCTTCTCCGGAACGCCGGGCTCGGTGCTGGGGCCAAGTCCTGCTTGTGTTGGTGGTGGGATGGCGGCCGAGACGCAGCCCCTTCTGGTCAGGGATCGAGGTAGTGGAGCCCGCTCTGGTGAGTGAGGTGGCACTTTCATTTTTACTTTTCTTTTTTTTCTCCTAACTTTTTGAGACAGGATCTCAAGTAGCCAGGCTGGCTTTGAACTCCAGATCCTCTTGCCTATACTTCTCGAGTGCTGGGAGGGGGTTCCTGCACCACCAGTTCACCATCTTCCTCAGGTGTGTGTGTGGGGGGGGGGGGCTGAGGCTTAGAGAAGAGTTTTTTAACCCATGGTACCCAGGCCTGAGTGGCAGAATATCCTTCTGGGAGTGACTTTGCTCTGGCTGCTAGGGACTGAAGCTGGTGTCCCCAGGCCAGGGTAACTTCCTTCCTTGTCCTCTTAAGTGAGGGGGGCGGGGCTAATCCTCTTTCTCCTTCTCTTCCCTTCCTGTGGTTAGGGACATTGGTGGACTCAGGGAGAGTGAGGTCATCCTCCCAGCCATCTTCAGAGGGTTAGGTGATTAATGCCTGAGAGGCAGAAGGTTCTTGTTCTCATTTTCCAGATGAGGAAACTGAGGCCATTATAGAGGGGAAAGGAGAGGAGCCCCCCATCCCACCTCTGACCTACCTAAGGTCACAGTCCTGCCCTCTGGTGTGGTCACTGCCAGTACACTGCCCTGTGTGTGCACCCTGGCCATTTAAACTTCCCTTTCTGGACCTCTTCTGTTTGGGAGCAGACTAGATTGGCATAGTGGTCCCTGTCTGCCCACAGCTCACGTCTAGCCATTGAATAATGAGGCCACGGATGGAGATGAGGAAGTCAGAAGCTGAGGTGACCACACATCTAACCCCCAACTCCCATCCCAAGTGTAGAGGTATATGATTCAGGGACACCTGCTTTGTGTGGGGGCATCTTCGGATGGAGATGAGGAAGTCAGAAGCTGAGGTGACCACACATCTAACCCCCAACTCCCATCCCAAGTGTTGAGGTATATGATTCAGGGACACCTGCTTTGTGTGTGGGGCATCTGCGGATGGAGAAGAGGAAGTCAGAAGCTGAGGCGACCACACATCTAACCCCCAACTCCCATCCCAAGTGTTGAGGTATATGATTCAGGGACACCTGCTTTGTGTGGGGGCATCTGGGGACCTTTCTGGGTGTGGGACTTTGGCAGGTTGCTTAGCTTGAGTCTCAATATAAGGGGGTAGTAATGGACTGGTGGGGTGGGGGACACATTTTGGGCATCCAAAGAGAGATGCTGTAGTCTGGTGTGTGGGTCCTGACAGATGTCTGTAAGTTCTGGCCCTGAAGAATGGACAAGTGACAGATTCAGTCTTCTCTGTTGAGACAAGACCCAAGGCTGGGGCAGCGTCACATGAGAGACCCTGAGGGCTCTTTGTCCAAACACTGTGACTTTGGCTGAGGCTGTTGAGAACCCAGACAACACTCTTGGTGTTTGCATCTTCTGGGCTGGGCTGTCCACGAGAATACATCTTTAGTCTCCACACAGCATCCTGTGAGTGAGAGATGGTCTCCAGGCTCTGGGTTTGGCTATTCTGTAATCAGGCTCTCAGAGCGGGGAGCTGTCGCTGCAGGCCTCCCCAAGGACCCCAGGGGTTTCTGCAGTTGTGACCTGCTGAGTCAGGCCTACCTGTCGGGAAGTAAGTATCCATAGGTATTGTGGGGGACATAGTGTCTGAGCCCCTGTCACCATTCCTCACTTTGCCTCATCTGACCCTATGTGCTCAGGAGAAGTCCCCTGGCCCTCGTGGTTGGAGTTATAGGTAGGAACAGGTGATTGCTGCCTAAGTTGATGAGCTCAGGGCAGGGCAGGTAGCCCTGGGGAGGCTCTGAACCCTCCGTTTGGAAGAGGATCCCCTGGCAGAGACAACAACCTGGGCATGGGCTTTGAGGTTCTGGAGAGCCAGGCCTTGACAGGGTCAAGTTCAGAATCTGTGGCACGGATGGGGCAGGGTGGCGAAGCAGCAGGAGACAGAGTGGGTGGGCAGAATGGGTTCCCAAGTGTCAGGATGTGGTACAGTGTGGACTTGGGGCATCGTGGACCCCCAGAAACCTATGACCTGCTTCCTAGAGCTTGTGACAAGCTTCCTAGAGCCGCAGGTAGGAAGAATGCTGATGGGAGTGGGTGGGCCTTCTTCAGGCCCCTCATTCCTGGGTGAGCTCAGATAGTGAGGCTCAGAACCTTCCCACCAGCAGGCAGAAGCTAGATGAAGGGGCCCCTTGTACAGAGCCCTAGGGTGCTGACCCATATCTGTGATGGCTAGTCTGAGTGGACATGAGTCTTTATAGTCGGTTCTGGGCCTCGGCTAGTGTCTTGTCTGAGAAACTTTTGTGGTTCATGGCTCTAGGCCCAGGCTACACTCTCTAGGGCATGACCGGGCTTCCAGGCTTTACCAGGCTGCCCTCAGCTGCCTTTCTCTTTGGGCCAGTTGGTTTTCAGTTCTGCCATGCAGGGAACACAGCAGTATGGCTTCTTCATAGCCATCCCAGGAAGGCTTCAGGAGTGCCAGTACCCACAACCCTCAGAGCCTCTCTGAGAAGCAGTTAGGATGTCTTTAGGATAAGCCTCATGGGCATACATGCGGGGAAACTGAGATCCTGGTTGATAAGGACAGAGCCAGGAGTGAAGTACATCTCTGGTCATCCTCTGGGGTTTACTGCCTCTGTTCTGTGACCCTAGACGCAAGCCCCAAGAACTAGAGCAGGTGGCTCTTTAGAGAGGGCACACTGTGTAGGCTGCCGCTGGGGCTCCGTACATGGCTGTGCACCGCCTCAGGGCTTCTTGCTGTGGCGGCGCTGTTCTTATCAGGGCATGGCTCCCGAGGGTCCCGGGAGGCCAGATTTTATAAAACCCAGAACTGCATAGCGAGATAGCTGGATGGTTCACTCTGTTTCAAGCGTTGTGAACCGTTGGAGCTGTGCAGTCCCCTGGTTCCCCTGCTCAGGGTTGTATTTGGGAACCACCCGATCCTGAAGGTGGGGAGGGGGTGAGAGCTCTGTGGTTGTTGGCGTTGGCGGGAGAGTGAGCAGATACCTTCCATTCTAGCCGTAGCTCCCCATTTTGGTGTGAAATCTTGTATTCCTTGGATAGAGATTGCCCCCACTCAAAGTGGAAGATTCTGGTTGAACAGGAGGTGGAGGTGGCATGGGTGACGATGGCAGCCCCTTCACTGAGCCCACTTGTGCACCAGGGGCTCCTGCGCCACATGGCTTCCACCCGGGAGCTAAGCAGGTGGACACTGGCACGCACTTGGCAAGGGTGACCATTCCTGTTCTTTCCATTCTTTCCATGTGAGTAGATGGGGGTGGGGGCACTGAGCTCTGAGAATGGTGCCAGGGTCCTGCAGGTCACTACTGCCTCTGTGTCCTTGTGTGTGCTGTGCCCTGGGCAGCGGTGGTCATGGGGTAGAGCTGCCTTTGCTCCAGGCCTGATGTCTTCTATCCATGCCATGTGTTTTTTTCCCCCTGCTTGACTCTCTGGCCTGGACAGGTACCTGCTGCAGAATGGAGGCGCCGGCTCCGGTCCTGCATGTGCTCCTCCTGTAGAGCTGAGGCTGCCGTGTTCCATTGCTCACCTGCTGTGTTTCCTCTACCTGCAGGTGCCACAGCCAGACAGGAGCTCTGCATAGACCAGGCTGTGGTCTTCATTGAAGATGCCATAAAGGTGTGTGTGTAGTGGCTGCCCTGCTGACCAGGAGTCTGTCCTGTCCTTTGTTCCTTACTGTCCTGGGGCAGGGGCCTTCATTTAGGACAGACACAATGGCAGGTACCTGGATCCAGCTCTCCCTTGTCCTCTGATGGAGGCCGTCACCTTAGTGCCGGAGTCATGGTGTTGTTGATTTAGTATGTACTGAAGCCTGTCATGGGCCACCCTGTGCTAGGCCCAGGTCTGGGAGACACCTGCAGGATGGATACAGTTGTATTGGAGAGTGGAGCTGGCCTTCCATTCACAGCCTTAGCCTGTGTTAAGGGAGCTCTCTCTACTGGGCAAGCTCTGTAGCTTGTACTGATCTAAGCCTGAGACCCAGCGAGGGGCTGACACAGACTTGCTGTAGCATACCTAGATTAGACCTGACTCTGGGGAGACTGGATCACTGGATTGGGCCATCTGTGGTATGTGGGTACAGTCAGTGGACTGTGGGTACATATATGTATGAACCATACATACACATATGTGGCATTAAGGGAGACCCCTCCGACACCCATATATGTGTGCCACTGAGGTGAACCCCACTCAAGCCCAGTGTGTGCAGCACTGGGGGAATCCACTTACAACCCTGTGTGTGATGTGCTGGAGAGACCCAACTCAAACCTCTTTGTGTATAGACTTGGGGAGACACTGGGCCAGGGACCCTATTGTGGCACTGGAGGACCCTGCTCATTTCGCTCTGTGCGTGGCTGTGTTGCGGGAGAGCCTGTCTCATGCTCATGTGCCCTTTGTTCCCAGTACCGCTCCATCTACCATCGCATGGATGCTGGCTCCTTGTGGCTTTACCGATGGTACTACTCGAACCTGTGCCAACGGTGAGACTGCTTCCCAGTGGAACCGGGCTGTGCAGACTTACTTGGTGGGGTTGGGCCAACCCTACACTGTCTTGGACTAAACGTGCTCCCCATCCACGGACATAGGTGATCCGTGGTCCCTCTTCCACAGAGGAGTCAGCTGTGGCCAGAAAGTTAGTGGTGGTAAGGGCTTCCTCCCCAGAATGCTGGGTCAGCCTTGCCTCTGAGTTTTGGGCAAGGCTGTGTTACTTGGCTAAGCACGGTAGCCCCAGCCAAGAAATGCCAGCTGCTGCCTTCTAGCCCCTGGACCTCAGTGCACCTCCCATTTGGCGTCCTGGCCCAACAGGCAGCAGCCCTTTACCCACTGACAGTGTTTGTCTCCTTCCCAGAGTGCTGGGCTTCACCATTTTCTTGATCCTGGCCTTGGCTTTTGTGGAGTTCCCGTCATCATTCACGAGAACAGCAGATGTGCGCTACCGCTCCCAGCCCTGGCAGCCACCCTGTGGCCTGACGGAGACCATCGAGGCTCTCTGCATGCTGATCTTCCTGGTTGACCTCTCCGTGAAGGTGAGGTGGGTGGTATCAGGTCCTACCCACAAAGCTCCTGGTGTTGTCCAGATGGCCTGAGCTATCATTGTGTGGCTGCTTGGGAGTCTTGGCAGGTGACTGAAGGCGTGGTGTGTTGTGCTCTTAGGTTGTTTATATCTATTCGTGTATGTGTGTGTGTGTGTGTGACTGGTGTGCTCAGTGTGGTTTCTCGTTTTTTTCTATCCTTGCCCATGATGTGATGGGCAGCTCTAGGTTTTTGTTTTTGTTTTTTGTTTGTTTTTTGAGACAGTGTTTCTCTGTGTAGCCCTGGCTGTCTTAGAACTTGCTCTGTTGACCAGGCTGGCCTCGAACTCACAGAAATCCATTTGCCTCTGCCTCCCGAATGCTGGGATTAAAGGTGTGCACCACCACCGCCCACCAGGTGCAGCTCTAGGTTTTAACTGGCAAGAATTTGGTATGCAAAAAAAAAAAAAGCCAATTTGGTATTCACTGGTCCAAATGGCCTGGTGTGAGTGTATTCTCAAGGTGAAAGAGAGCAGAGATTGTTATCTACTCTGGAGACAGGCATGATGATGGGACATCAAGAAGGCAGGATGGGCAGGAACCCCCTCCTGCATCACCTTCCTGGAGTGGCTGTCAAGCCCGCCCGGTGCTTGTCCTTTAGTCCTCCTGCCTTGAATGCTCTTTTGTTTACTCGGCACGCACCGGTGGCTTAGATACACAAAGCTGGTAGGACCCGTGATACCAATGAGGAACCCAGCCAGAGAGGCTGAGTGCCACCCCTGAGTCACTAGCAGCCTTGGCAGGAATGCATGCTTCCTGAGCCCTGCTCAGCTCCTCACTCCCTGCCAGCAGTGCACAGAGACTGGACTGTGAACCCCCCACTCTGTCACCCATGGCCTTGGGCTTGCACCGATGTCCTCTGGCTTGCTGTTCACCCTTCCCCGTCTCTTGCAGGGCTACCTGGTGGGCCAGGCCCAGTTACAGGAGAACCTGTGGCTGCTGGCCTACTTCGTGGTGCTGGTTGTGTCCGTGGTGGACTGGATCGTTTCACTGAGCCTGGCTTGTGAGGAGGTAGGTGGCGTGTCAGCTCCGAGACCGAGGCAGCCCTGTGGGTATGATGTACAGGTGCAGCTGAGCCCTGAGCCATGTGTCCGTCTGCCCGGTGCTGTTCATGTCCTGGAGGGCCTTGGTTTCCCCCATCGTAGGAAAGATACTGGGGCTTGACAGCCAAGATTTCCCCTGAGGTGTCCCATTGGGGAGAGGACCTGGAAGCAGGGTCCAAGTTGCTGTGACTCCTTATCCTTCAGGTTGCAGTGAACTCTCCTGGTCAGGTCCCTGATAAGAGAGCCATCCCAGGGCATCACTGTGCCCGTAGCTGTTTGAGCTCAGCCCTAACAAGCCTCATCCACTGACTCAGCACTGACCACAGTGCCATGCTTTCTCAGAAGCACCCGGGACCCTGGGAGGTGGTGTGGGCACTGAAGCAGGGGCAGGTTGGTTTGGCCTTCATGGATCTGTTAATATGTGATGGGAACCGAATAGAGGGACTAAGACTTCGTGGAGCCTAGAGGGCTGATGGGAAACAACACTTGGAATCCCAGCTGCAGAGCTGGCTTGTCCTCTGCCCTTTGGGTGGGTCCTGCCTGATAAGGACAGCCAGTGATGGGAAGGAGGGAGGCTTGTTTCTCACCACCAGCCTGCAGCCTACCCCAGGCCCCACAGGAAGCTGATGGGAGAGAGTGGTGGGCGGTGAGTCCCTGCCCCTGTACCCAGCAGATACTGAGGGGCACGGAGGCACAGTTCTACAGCTATTTGGCACCTTCTACTTCCTGTGTGTTGTCACCCCACCCCCTGTAAGATGCAGCTCCTCTTCTGATTGAGGAAGAGGCGCCCATGCCTTCCTGGAACAGGAGGGAGATGGCCCTACAGCCATCATTTCTCACTGAAGCTTCCCATGGGTCTCTGCACCTGGCTGGTTCCTAGCTGTGCCTCTGCCGGGGTTCTTATGTGCTGCCAGGAGGGAGGAAGGTGAGAAGAAGCTTCTTGTGATGCATGAAAGAGTCCACCCGGTAAATGAGCCAGGTTTGGGGCACAGAGCGGCCTGGCCACTTATGTAGTCTATATAATGTCCCTCGGCAGCCTGCTCTTGTCGCTGTGCCTCGTCCTTGTTAGCTGAGTGCTGTGTCAGCCCTGGCTTGTGCATGCTGGGCAATGTTCTCCCACTGAGTCACTCCCTGGCCCCGCAGCTATAGTTTTCCCTGGAGGACTTGGGGCCTCCTTATCACTCCTGAGTGGCGGTGTCCTGTTCTGTGTGCTGTGTGGGTACTTCCAGACTAATAGGGTCCAGCATGGCAAGATGAATATAGCCATGTGGTCACTGAAACCTCAAACTCTGGACCCTTCCTGCAGGCTCCAGATCTGGTAGCCACAGGACAGGAGTGTTCCTCTGCCTTCCAGTGGCATGTGTCATACTGAGGTAGTGAGACCTGCTCACTGGGCCATTTCCAGGCTCTAGGATGGGGGTGCTTGGCGAGACACCGTGGAACAGAAGGGCAGAGCTTAACTGGCATAGCTGTCCAGGGATGGATCAGTGTCCCACACGGGGAAGGGCACAGTGCCATCTGTCACCAGGAGCCACGTAGGGCCTTGTGCTAGGCTCTGCTTCTGCAGAGTGAGTGTGTTGTTGGCCCCAGGTAGAGCCTTCACCCCTGTCCTGGTGGCTGCTTCATCTGTCGCTGAGGTCAGACGCTCAGGGTGTTTGTAGGACCTGCTAAGTTGATGTGCTGGTTACACACTTCCGGGGCCTGAACCCCCTCCTCAGCACCCTGTGCCTGTTTGGAGGGACCTGTCCCCATAGCCCTCCAAACTCCTTGTTCCCAGTCCTTCAGCTCTTTCTATGACAGTCTCTGCTCTCGGGAATCGTGCTCAGTTAGCAGACCCCTGCCTGCCACCTTTCTGAGGGACTGTCCCCCCTAAGGCGGTCATGTCACACGAGGTCCGTCTCTGGTTAGGTGGCTGTGTGACTCAGAACCTCTGTAGCTATCAGGGCCCTCTTGAAGCACCCCCACAGATGCCGAGTGGCTTGATGGGGAGGGCCAGACACCTGGCCTGCTTTGCCAGACCAGGTTTGGCTTCTGCCCAGTTAAGTCCTCATGGTGAAAGGGTTGGGCGACATAAGGTCTGCCAGGCACTGGTGGTTGTGACCGCATGCGCTGTCTATCGTTGGGTGCTTGAGGTTGTGACCGCATGCGCTGTCTATCGCCGAGTGCTTGAGGTTGTGACCTCATGCGCTGTCTATTGCCGGGTGCTTGCTTCCACTCTGGGATCTGGGTTCTGATTCTCAGTGTCTCCATTTTTGGAGATGGTCGCCTGGCTGTGTTTTCTCTCTTCCTTAGTCTATGGCATTGCTAGGCCCACACAGCCAGCAAGACCATAAGTAGCCTTTGTGTCCCCGTATGACTGGAGGTGGTCCAGGCTCCAGAGGACTGGAGACCTGGGCTCTGGCCTGCCAACCATGGGTGGTATGTGGTGGTCCAGGGAGCTGAGGGCATTGACCTCTCAGCCACGGGAGCCAGGCAGGGCATCCGGGTTGGAAGAGACCCCTGAGCAGTTTTCTGGTTGCTGTGGTTCCTGTTGTCCTCTCATTCTGTTCCAAGCTTCTGTGTGAGCGCAACCCAGGAGGACCAGCAAGTCCTCACAAGGTCCCTTGGGAGCTGCCATGTGTGAGTACGCGTGGGCCATTGTCCTGTGTTACCAGGTGCTAGAAAGAGGCTGCTGATGGGCCTTTGACAGGTGCTGTGATGGAGAGGAACAGGACAGTGGGCAGGGGATGGGAGGCATCAGGCCAGGATGCAGGAATGCTGCGAGCTGTCAGCTGTGGCCAGCAGGCCTAGGATGGCTGGAATGGTTGGCAGGGCTACTCACTCCCTTCTCCAGGGTCTGGGATCCCTGGAAGGAAGGAATGCGTAGTCCTGGTTCAGTGGCTGGCTTCTTGTCTTCCAGTCCCTGCGTGTACGCCGGTCACTCCGTCCCTTCTTCCTGCTCCAGAATTCCTCCATGATGAAGAAGACCCTTAAGTGCATACGGTGGTCACTGCCAGAAATGGCCAGGTGAGCACTGGGGCTGGAAGCTGCAAGCTCTGCCAGAGGGACCAGAGGGATCAGAGGGTAGGCCGGCTCCTATGTGGGTATGGTTGGGGTAGCCCTCTGGGTACTCCCAGCCCAGCATCCTGCAGGAGTCAGTGGGCAGTGTTTGGGGTCCTAGTCAGACCTGGTCAGACACTATAGACTCATACCTACCACACCTGTTGCTGAGTTGAGTAGATGCCTCATTTCTTGTCTCTGGGGTCTCCCCTTGGTTGGCTGTACCTGCAGCTTTAGTTCAGCTGCCTCTTACACTGTTTGCAGCTGTGCTGACCTGGAAGCCCTGTAGTGCTTGGGTTCAGTGCTATGGAGCTTCAGTTCCCCAGCCCTCTCCCAGTCCTCTTGGCTCCTGCCAGAAAAAATATCATCCATGCCCTTCCTCTGCTTCCAGTCCCTTCTTTGGTAGGGCACTGCCTGTCTGGCCCCAAAAGATAGAAGTGACCTCTGTCCTCTGTGTTCTGGTCCCTGGCTGGCATGCCCCTCAGGTTGTGTCCCACCACAAACAAAGGATCCAGGGTAGGCCTGGCTTCAGGTCCCTGTCCCAGGGCTAAAAATACTCAGTGCCTCCAGGGAGAGGAGAGAGCACTGTGCTCATACCCGAGGACGTGGGCAAGATGGTGTCATGGCTTGGGATGTGTGGCCTGTGCTGTGCCAGGCTGAGCACCACCCTTCCTCCCAGTGTCGGGCTGCTGCTGACCATCCACCTGTGCCTCTTCACCATCATTGGGATGCTGCTGTTCACCATTGGTGAGAAGGTGAGTATGGCCTTGACTATAGGTGAGGCTCATAGGCCCTTGTCCTGCAAAGCCTGCCTGGTCTGGAGTAGCCGGGGTGACCAATGGTGACAGACCAGGAAGTGGGTCATGACGCCTCTTGAGGGGCTGTCTCTGCATGTCCAAACTTCCCATCACTGAAGCCTTTGTCCACCCCTGCCCTCTCTGCTGGTGACCTTCTCCATGTCCCTGTATGACAGGCTCTTCACAGAGGGTGGCTTGAAGAGTCCTCTCCAGTCTGACTATGTCTCAGCCAGGGCTGCACTTCCTGGTGCTTGCTCCAAGCCCCAGCAATGCTTGGCTAAGTTCCTGGCCTCTGACTCTGGGCCCCTGCCCTGCCCAGCTGCAGTTGAGACTTTGACCTTAGCAACTTGATGCCATGGAGAGGTGTCTAGCTGTCTATCTGTGGTGCTCACCTGTGAGTTCTGTATGTCTCGCCTCACATCTAGCAAGGGTTATGTCCAGGCCAGATCACTGTCCTCCAGCATGGTCCGTCCTGCATTTCTGCATCTGTTGGGGGGTGGCTGGTGTGATCACAGCTGGTCACCTTGTGACATTGAGGTGATAGAATGGAGTTGTGCTGCCAGGGCAGGAGAAGGCAAGATAGTGCCTTCCAAACACGGGGTGCTGGGGTGGTCCCGTGTGTTCCTGCGTGCGAGTGTCTCTGCACATGTGTGCCTGTCATGGCTGCATGACTCTCTGGAAAACTCTTGTCTGTGGGCAGTTCACGATGTGTAGTGTGGGTGTGTCCAGAAGGTTTCCCAACCCTGTAACTTCTTATGACATCCGTGTCTTCCATCCTTAGTCATTTGTGGCATGTGCATGTCTGTGAGTCTGTGTTTGTGCCATTTGTATGCCTGCCTGCCAGTGTCCCATGTGTTGTGTGTCTGTTGATGTCTCTCTGTATACATGTCTGTGAGTGTCTCTTTGTGTGTATGTGAGTATGCATGTCTGTGTCTGGGTGTGTCTCCGTGTTTATGTATGAGTGTGTTTCTGTGTCTCTCTGTGTGTATCTGGGTGTGTCTGTGTGCATATCTTGGGTATGTCTCCATGTATGTATATGGCTATGTCTCTATGTAAAAGTCTGGATGTGTCTCCATGTCTGTGTCTTTGTGTTATTTCTGTGTCTTTGTGTAGTATGTCTCCATCTCTGTTTGTAGGTGTCTCCATGATGTGTCCAGCGAGTGCCTGGGTCTATGTATCATGCCCGTGGTGGACAGGGGCAGGGACTGGACTGCCTTCCACACCCCCGAGACCTGTGTGTGACTGTCATATGACTATGGTCGCTGTTTCTCAGAGCTCGGGCCAAGCAGGCAGGCAGTGTGGGGGCTGGCAGTGGCTAGAGCCTCAACCGCAAGGTGAATGTGGGGGCCTTTCCCCAAGAGTGCTATTTCCAGAGCTACCAGAAGATTCCTCCTACAGACTGGGTTTCTGCCCCGGGAGGGGGAACCAGGCTGAACAGGATGAGGGTTGTGTAATTGAGGGTGTCTTCCTGTCATGGTCTGGACAAGCATCTCGTGGTCTTGACAATCATCCCGTTCCCTGTCTTCTGTTGTAATGGGCAGGATGTGAGGACCGACCCATGCCGAGTTTCTTGTCCCTGGTTATCCCCAACCTTGCCAGCCTGGCCTGGGGAACAGGTTGAAAGCCTGCTGCATGTCCCCATGGCCCAGCCTGGTGTCTCCAGGCTTTAATAGCTGAGGACACAGTAGCTAACCTTGTCTGAGCCCGTCTGTAGGCATTGACTATAGCTGGCTCGCTTGATACCCACATCTTCCTCGCCACATGGTGCCAGATTTGGGGCATGTTTTCCCTAGTATCAGTGCTGTCATTGTGCCTCACGGGCTGTGTGCCCCGTCAGGGCTGTGGCCATGTGTTGTCAGTGAGCTGGATAGGAACCAGGTCTCCATAGCCAGGGTGCTCCCTCGGCTGCTGCAGGCCCATAGCTCAGAAGAGCTTACGCAGCCTGTGGAAGGAGTAGATTTGTGGGGCTGCTGCAAGAGACCTGCTGGGAGAAGGGCTAGGCTGGGAGCTCCTGCCTTGGAGGTTTCTCATTCTCTTGTCCCCCAGCCTTAGTTGCCTTGTCTGGAAACTGACGCAGGTGCTAGAACCTTCCTCAGCCAACATGAAGCCTTCCCTGAGCTCACTCAGTTAGGGGATTGATTCAAGCCCTGGAGGGCTACTTCAGTCCTCTGATACTGTCCCTGGACATGTCCCTGGGAGATGGCTTGTCCTCTGGGTTCCTTAGCTGAGCAGTGTCTTTGAAGGTGTTTGCTGTCCTGTCCTGAACCCAGATAGGGCTCCCTGGTCCTCCCCGTGCCCAGCATGTCTCTCAGCCTTGTTGCTCCCTGTGACATTCCTGTCCCCCACCTCTGGTCATTTGTGGCATCTGTTACCACTGGTTGCTCATGGGTGGCAGTGCTATTTTGTAGATGAGACAAGTGGGTTCTATGGTTGTCCTGGAGCCTGTGTGGCAGAGAGACTGCATCAGGTGGCCACTTGCTGGGCTGTTGGCGGAGCTGGCCTTTGGGTAGCAGGAGGAACTTGTCTTTGAAGTTGTTTTAGGAAAAAGTTGGTTCTGTGTGCATGCGGTCTGTTTCCTGTATGTCACTGGCCCTGTTTGCATCGCCACCCATTTTCTGGCTGGAGTCTGCAGCTTGGTAGACACAGGGTAGCTCTAGGGGACAACCCCGAGTTCAGGAGTCTGGAGTCGAGGTTTCCTTGAGGCAGATACACTGCCTGTATTTGCTACCCTCTGTGTCAGAGAGGACAGAGGCTGGGAGTCCAGGCATGACTACCCCTGCTGACAGCCACAGCTGTGTGGATAAGGCCTCTGAGTACCATGAGTGACCAGGAGCAGTGAGTCTCTCCCAGGGGGTCCCACCCAGATCACTAGAGACACCCCATTACCTTGTGGCGGCTTCCTTAAGGCCACACTTTGCAGTCTGGGTCTTTGCTCATCCCACCCCCAGTTCTTCCTCACTGTACACACAGCTCAAGGAGGCTGACTGGTCCTTCATGTTGTTGCTTGGGCTGCCAGGCTGCTATGCTCAGCTAGGCTGGCTCAGGGTTTCCTTCTGGATAGGCCATGGTGGTCAGAAGCCTGCGTGTGTGTCTTCAGGCCCTGAGTTCAAAGCCTGCTGGGAAGTGATGGGCAGATGCAGGTCAGGGGTGCTTACCCCACTCCCACCCCGAACCTCTGTGTGGTCCTGGCTGTGGGTCTGAGGGGGAGCTGTGTCAGACTAGACCTCAGCTGGGGGACAGAGGTCCAGGTGGCTCCCTCATCTGCTCTTAGGATGAAGCACAGAATGAGGAGAGGCTGACCTACTTCCAGAACCTTCCAGAGGCGCTGACCTCACTTCTGGTGCTACTGACGACTTCCAACAACCCAGATGGTACGTGTGGAGTGTGGGAGCTGGGGTGAGGGGCAGAGAGCCTGGCCTGGTGTGTGTGAAGTGTGGGAGCTGGGAGGGGCAGAGGGGCAGAGAGCCTGGCCTGGGAGGACCAGTTGGGATTCTGAGTTATGGCGCCCATCCTGAGTGTATGATCGCTTTTCATTAGCATGGGGATATGATACTGGGGTCTCCCTCAACCTTTCCTCCCACCCCTTTGTGTTCTTGGTCCCTTCCAATCCCTTCTTTTTTTTTTTTTTTTTTTTTGGTTCCCTTTGTCTTTACTTCTTGGGGACACTGGAAGTGTGTGGCAGTATGTGGTGTGGTGGCCTTGGTCAGTGGTTCCTATGGTGGCCTCTCTGGGGCCTGGCCACACTTCCTCTCACCACCCAGGCCTGCTGTGAGCTGTGTGTCATGCAGGAGCACCAACTGTGGGAGATCCCAGGTCTTAGCTGACTATGGGCTGTGCCTGGATGGGAAAGCTGCAGTCCTGCTATCTGCTGGTCTTATCCTGGTCTCTAGGAGACCTCTCCTGAGGGCAGCCTGCGATTCCCACCCCAGAAGTGCTGTGCACCTGACCCTAAGCCGGTCACTGTGAGGAGAGCTGTGTAGCTTGGGGTGTGGTCACAGTGAAGGGGTGAAAATCTATCCCGGAGGGTACCAGTAATGGAACATGAAGTCCTCAGTCCCTCTGGGAAGGCAGATGATGCAGGATCAAGGTGGAAGTGGGGGCAGCTGCTGCAGTGTGTGCTTACCTCTGACTCTTCCTTTGTCTCAGTGATGATTCCTGCGTATACCCAGAACCGGGTCTCTGCCCTCTTCTTCATACTCTTCACCTTGATAGGTAAGTGCAGGTGGGTCTGCGTGGACACCAGGCGGGCACTCACCCATGCTCCTCGGCTTGCTTCTTCCTGGAACTTTGTCTCTGTCTGCCTGCACCCTATAACTTCCCCTCCCCCACACCCCTTAACTTGACTTTAACCTGTTTTCTCCTTATAGCTTTACCGCAGTTCATCCCCTAGACCTTCACCTTCACCTGACTTCTCAGTGTGTCCCTACCCTGTAATTCCACCTCAGCCTGTCCCGCCATACCCTCACCTCAGCCTGTCCTGCCATACCCTCACCTCACCTCAGCCTGCTCCCTCAACTTGCTCCCAACTTATCCTTCATCTCAGCTTGTCCAGCTGTGGCTCCATCTCTGCTTCCCACCCTGCTATCTTTACCTCACCACGCCCCCCATATACTTCGCTGCTCTGTCCCGTCTCCTCAGCGTGGCCCCTTTGGATACCACAGACACATCCTTCATCCCAGTCTAGCCCACTCCTGTAGCTTCACCCCAGTTCCCCATCCTGCACCTGTAACTTAACTCAGTCTGTTCCCCACCCCAGCTCCATCTTAGCCTGCCCTCCCTGCTCTTCCCCTGATATGACTGTTGCTGCCCCTCTCTGTCTTGCTATCCATGACTAGGGATGCTTGGCCTTCCCCCATTGGGTGGACACGGATGCAGGAGTCTGGGGTTGTGTGTGTCCCCTGTTATCAGGCAGAAGGGAACTCTGGGAATGTGACCGTGGTCGCTCATCTCGTGCTTCTGGTCACCATGTCCAGGCTGGCTGAGACCTTTGAGCCTGGGGACGGTTGTGGCGTAGCTGCTGCAGGCTCTGCCCCACTGGCCTCTGGTCAGGTGCTTGTTTTATACTTTCACAGGAAGCTTGTTTCTTATGAACCTGCTGACAGCCATCATCTACAATCAGTTCCGTGGCTACCTGATGGTGAGCCACCCTGAGCCCTGCTGGGCTGAGCTGGCCCTAGAGGCCAAGGCGGGGTTGGGCCCTGAATCACCTGACTCTGTGTGATGGGGAGCCGGCTTGTCACTGCTTGTGGACCAGCTCAGACACACTGTCTCTGCTATGGGTCATTTCAGGAGCACAGGTATTGCCATGGCTACCCTGCCTTTTCATAATGAGGAAAACACCCATGGGGTGCAGCTCCTGGGGTGTCTGATCTGCACCCTAAATACACAGAAAGAAATGCACATCTTGGAGGCTTCTATAGTGAGCTGTGGTCAGCAGCCATCCTTGCTTTGCCTTGGCTGGGCTTTGTCCTTTGAGGACTGTCCCCTATAGTGGTACCCAAGGAGTGAAGGGCTTGCTCCCTAGGCTCCCCCTTAGCCCACTCCCCAGGGCAGGGTGGACAAGGATAGAGATGTGTGTGGGAACTGCCAGAGCTAGGTGTTCAGAGCCATCCTCTTTACAGAAGTCTCTACAGACCTCGTTGTTCCGGCGGCGGCTGGGGGCCCGTGCGGCCTATGAAGTCCTTGCATCCACGGCAGGGCAGACTGGAGCCACCCCTGAGGCGTGAGTGCTGGGTGGGGTCCTCCTTCTGGGAAGGGGAGCTGGGTGCTCACTGGTTTTCCCGAGTACTGGGTTTCCCGAGTAGCCCCTGCTGACTGGCGCCAGACTGGATAGTCCATTTGGAGCTGTGTAAACTGCCAAGCCCTCAGTGCTTCCATTATCCTGTTTACTAAGGCAGGCATCCACACTGCCAGGTGGGCAGAGAAAGGAGACAGACAGCTCTGGTGTGTCACTGAGAAAGTTCTGGGCTTGACCGCTCAGTGGCAGCACAGCCTGCTGTCCGTCTTTCCAGGGGCGTCTCCAGAGGATCTCAGGTGGGGCCTGTAGGACCCTTCAGCTCACCCCATGTTGGAAGCTCACCAAGTCTCCTTTGCATGCAGCAGGGTGAATTCATAGCCAAGTTCAGACCAGAGAAACTGGTGCTGGACATGCTCACTGGGGTGGGGTTTCTTTGCCACAGAGTTGGGGTAAATCCTGAGGACTTTCTGCGAGTACTTCAGAAAACCCAGCTGCCCAAAATCTTCAAAGAGGCCATCATGCAGGTTGCTGCTCCTCCTGGGTCTGCCCCAGCTCTTGTTGGGTGGGTCGTCAGCCCAGTGCTCACTGCCCATGGGTCGGGAGGGGCCCAGGCATTGGGCATTGCTCTCCCATTGCCAGTGGCAGACCTGGCTTTTCTTCTACAGAAGGTGCGTTCCTATGAGGGCCGCCTGATGCTGGCTGATGAATTCCAGAAACTCTTCGATGAGGTTGACAAGGGTGTGATCAAAGAGGTAACTAGGTCTGGCCTGTGCCACCTGTCTAGTCTGGGCTAGTGGGGTTCCATTTCCCATTGTTTCTAATGACCCCTGCCAGGACTTGCCTGCCCTGGGGTCCCTGGGTTGGCAGTGGAAATCCTTTGGCTCTTGACATTTTGGGCTGAATTTGTTGGCTGGAGACATTTATCATTTGGGGAAGTGGCCTGGGCAAGCCTGACCAGAGGAACATTCCACAGCATTCTTCTGTCAGAAACAAAGTCCTTTGGCCATTCCTCTGGGAGGTCTAAATGCTAACCCTTTCCAAGGCCTTTGCCTCTCACTCTGGACGCTTGTGCACTGTTCCTTGGGAGTCTTGGCTTCCACTTCAACCCCTGAGGACGAGAATGTCTGCACGTGCCAGTGTGGGTTTCTGGGGTGAGCAGCCTTGCCGGGCGTAGCTCAGGTACCTAGGCAGGCAGAGGGACTACTCTCCCTGCCAGCCCTCCCTGAGAGGACCAGGGCAGGCCCCGGGCTGGACAGGCTAAAATGGGGTCAGATGTGTCCTGCTGCTCCAAGCCTTGGCAGTTCCAGGGCTGTGTGACCTGGCTGCTCAATCTGCCTTAGGACACACCTTAGCCACAGCAACGGACATTTAATACCTCAGGGAGACATTCCAGGCCCAGTACCCCTCAAGGCCTCTCCATGTGCCTGGCCCATGGTGGCTTCAAGTGGTCATCCCTGTGTGTGTGTTCCCAAATCATCTTCTTACAAGGACATAGTCATGTGGAATAAGACCCTCCCCACACCCCGCCTTCCCATGGTCAGTCACCCCAGAAAGGCCGTATCTACAAATGTATCACATTCTCTAGGAGTAGGGCTGGGCTTGGGTGGAGAATTCTGTGGCCCATGAAGGATCAGCCCGTCTGTCTGTCAGCTGCCCTGGGAGGGTTGTCGGCTTACGTGACCTGGTTGCCATCACGGGTGGTTGTCCTCAGGCCTCCCCAGGCCTTCAGGAGGCATGCATTTGTTGCTGATGTCCTTGGGGGTGTTGCTTCTGCCCCCACCTTGGGACACAGGAGTCTGGTGAAGGTGACGTATCCTCAGGGAGCACTGTGCATGTACTCTGCCATCAGCCCTCTGCTTGGACCAGGTGGGCACTGAGGTGTCAGAGGGTCCCCTCGATTTGGGGCATGTGAAACAAATGCTATTGGATGCAGACTTGCAGCGATTAGAGCCTGGGAGGCTCAGGTGGTGGTTCCCAGCCTGGATAGGAGGTCTGCTGCCTCAGGAAGCTGCCGTGAGAATCCATACGGGCTGGGTTTGCTGTCCTTCAGTCTAGGTACAGTCAGACCTGGCAAGAGCGCCGTCTCCATCTAGGTTCTGTTCCTTAGTCTTGCCTGGTGCCTGCTGGGCGTCCCCTTCTCCCGATGCTGAGGCTTGCCAACCTCTGGGGAGCATAGCAGCTGTCAAACTTGACTCCTCTCTCTCTCCCGCTGCCAGAGTATTGTGGCATCCTGTCGCAGTGCTGCTGAGGAAAGACACACAGACTGTGTCTGGCAATCGAGGCTCAGTAGAGCAGGCTCAGGCTGGGGACAGCCTAGCACTTGAGCCGTATCCCTCCTCTGGCCCCTTTCCCGACTGCTTTCTGGATTCTTTGAGATGGAGTCTTCCTGTGTAGCCATAGCTGTCCTCGAACTTACTATGTAGCCCAGGCTGGTCTCAAACTCACAGAAACTCATTGTCTTTGCTCAAGAATGCTGAGTGGAGTTAAAGCATTGCATGACTGCTCAGCTTTCCCAGGGACTTACCTGCTCTGTGTCCCATGCTGTTACTGGTGGTCTAAGATTTGAAGACTAGGATTGGGTCTTGAGACCTGTGCTCAAATCTGGAAGTTTTGAGAGCCTTGGGTCCTTGCCCTGATAGTATGTCCCTCTTCCCTCCAAAACTGAGTGAGTGAGTTCAGTTATTTGGGGATTGCTAACTTTAGGGGCAGCCCCTTCCGAGAGGTGCCCTGCTGTAGGCTGGGCTGTGGCCTGTCAGCAGAGGGCTGGGTGCATGCTGGTGGCTACAGGCGCTGTGCAGCTTCCAAAAAGCCCTTCCGCGAGTGTAGTCACCACTGTAGATGTGAAAGACTAGAAAACCCCCTCTCTCCCTCCCCAGAGGCAGCCACTGTCACGTGGGCACTGGTTGGTTCAGCTCTCAGGAGTGTATGGCTATGTTCTGCTAAGTTTGAACATGATGGAGGTGCTGAACCTCTCTCAGCAAGGTGTCAGTGTGCTTCCAGTCAGGCAGAAACCACAGGGGAGTGAGTGTAAACAAGGCCCCATCCCTAGGAGGAAGTCTCAGAGGTGATGAAAGACCTGGGTAGAGAAGGAAGAGCCCTGGGGCTGAGGGACAGTGCCCAAGCAAGGATGACCTTAGAAGGGGACCTTCCCCGGCCAGACTCAGGCCTCCGTGGAGAAGTGTGGCTCATACCTGTAAAAAGAAGGTGGCCCAGAGCTCTCTAGGGAAGGTTTCCAGACATCGGTGGAGAATGTGGCTGAGATTCCTGTGCAGAAGATGACACAGATCTCTGGGGAGCAGACCTCTGGCCTGCCTGAGCCAGTGCCGCTCTGTGGGCCATTGGCAAAGTGAGAGCATCTGCATTGGGAGCTGCGGGGGCCATGCTATCTGCCGCAGAGGCCAGGGTGTGCAGAGCGCTAAAGGGCCTCTGGGCAGCCAGCCCCTGCACACTAGCTCACTTGTCAGCAGGTCAGGCTGAAGCTCTAGGTGCCGGGATTACATGTCTGCTGAGTCACCATGTGTCCTGATGCCACACCATGATACCTGAAGCTGCTGTCTTGTCCTGCGCCGTCTGTTGAGAGCCACCCTGTGCCTGCTGTAGATAGGGATGCTGACAGGCTCTGTAGTACCAGTGGAGCTGGTGCTGACAGTGAACCAGAGCTGAGAAGTAGCGGCTGCTTTGAGGACCCTTCACAGAGAAGTCATTCTTTTCAGCACAGTGTGTTGACATCTTCCTGTGGACAGCGCTGTGTGCAGTCCTAGGCATGCTTGTCCCTGATACAGAGTTCATCAAGTTTGAGATCTTTCTGTGCAAACCACTCTTGGTGATGAACTCTCTTTCCTGCACCCCGCTGGTAGCCTTAACCATTCTTCACCTGGAGCTGTCACCTGAAACGTGGCCTTTGCTAGTCACTGAAGAAGTCAGTGGTTCTGTTTCATCATAGAAACTTATGGTGTATGTGTGGTGGTATTCCTACCCCCGGGTGTAGGTGGAAGTTTCTGTCCTACCAAATAAACACACTGAGGCCTATATTAATTATAAATGCTTAGCCAATAACTCAGGCTCTTGCATTTAAATTAACCCATATTTCTTATCTACACTCTGCCACATGGCTTGGTACCTTTTCTCAGTACTGCACACCCAGCTTGCTTTTCCCTGCGTCTGCTGGCAACTCCTCTGATTCTGCCCTTCTTCATCCCAACATCCTTAGTTTGGTTGTCCCGCTTATACTTCCTGCTTGGCTACCAGCCAGTCAGTTCTTTGTTAACCAATGAGAGTTATACATACTCACAGTGTACAGAAGGATTCTTCCACGGTACCCGGGGGGGAAGCAGGAGCATCCCCTCTGCCTCCTCAGGGTGGACGTGCGCATATCAGACCGCTCCCGTGGTTTGCTGCGTCAGTCTGCTGCGCCACCTCCCACTCTTTCCCTGTACCTGTGCCAGGGGTGCCACAGGAAGTCATGGACCCCAGAAAACACTGGTCTCGTGAGGCCGCCCTCCACTGCTGTCCACTCTGGATGGCCACAGTGCCTCTGGGTTGTCGTTCTGTTGTCCTAGCACTTGGCGAGCCAGCTTTAGGAATGTCTCACAAAGTACTGCCCATTCGGTATACAGTTTGCAGTTTTGGTTATTTGTTTATTTATTCAATTATTTTTGTTTTTCAAGACAGTGTTTCTCTGTGTAGTTCTGGCTGTGCTGTAACTTGCTCTGTAGACCAGGTTGGCCTCGAACTCGGAGCTCAGAGGTCTGCCAGCCTCTGCCTCCCAAGTGCTGGGATCAAAGGTGTGTGCCACCACTGCCTGGTGCAATTTTAATTTTTACTGTGCTTTATATACTTTTTGTGTGATGTATGTGCGTACACGCATGCCACAGTGCATGTGTGGGTCAGAGGACCACTTACAGGAAGCTGTTCTTTTCCCACATGGGTCCTAGGAGTAGAGCTCAGGTCGTCAGGCTCGGCAACAAGGCCTTTTTGTGCATGAGGGGTTTGTCTACATGTGTGTGTATATACCTCTTGTGTGCTTGGTTCCTGTGGAGGTCAGGTCACTGGATCACCTGGAACTGGAGTATTGATGACTGTGAAGTACCATGGTGGTGATGGGAACTGAGCCTGGATCCTCTGCAAGAGCAGCTAGTGTTCTTAACTGCTGAGCCATCTCTCTAGCTCCCAAGCATGCATCTTTTTTTAAAAAACTATTTTATTTATTTTATGTGTATGGGTGTTTTGTCTGCATGCATATCTGTGCACCGTATGTGTGCTGGTGCCTCCAGAGGCCAGAAGAGGGTGTTGTATCTCTTAGGACTAGAATTATAGATAGTTGTAAACCACCAAGTGTGTACTGGGAATTGAACTTGGATTCTCTGGAGAAGCAGCCTGTCCCCTTAACCACTAAGTCATCTTTCCAGTGCCCCCTCCCCCTGCAAGCATACATTTCAAATGACTCATGTGTCATGGTTACATACAGGGCGTTAGACATTTAGGTCATTTCGCTATATAAGACCACTGCTATAAAGGTCACTGTGATAAGGCTTTCATGTGTTTGGGATTACTTCTGAAGCTATATGGGTCAGAGCAGGAGGTAAGACAGGAGGATGTCTCCTGCCTCACCACAGTTCTGAGAGTGTGGCTTCCCTTTGTAGCACCCGCCGAAGCCCCAGTACCAGTCTCCATTTCTGCAGAGTGTCCAGTTCATCTTCAGTCACCGCTACTTCGACTACCTGGGGAACGTCATTGCTCTGGGAAACCTCCTGTCTATCTGTGTGAGTGGGGCTTACCCTGTGGTGGTGTGGGAGGCCCTCTCCTGCAGCCAGCCTTCCCCTGTGCCCGCCTCCCCGCTAACACTGTGACTGGCCACAGTGGTAAGCCATCCTCCTCTGTGGCTCTGCAGGTGTTCCTGGTGCTAGACTCAGACCTGCTGCCCGGGGAACGTGATGACTTTGTCCTGGAGGTGAGTTCAGGGGCGCCTGCTGGCCTGTGGAGCTGTCAGCTCTGCCAGGGGCAGAGCAGTGAGGAGGAGGAACAGGGCGGAGACAGAGTGGCTGAGTCCAGAGCAGAGATCCCTCATGGGGGTGGAGGCTCTAGTTAGATGGGCAGAGTGTCTGGGTGGGGACTCCCATGGGCCCCTGCTTAGAGGCGTGGGAGACTGAGGGTCCTGGGTCTTGTAGAGAGAAAAGACCAGCTGGGCTGCAGTGCCGACTGGGTCCTGTGGACTGTGTGGCTTCAGGCTTTGGGCCTTGCCTCCAAGAATTAACCATGATCTCTTCTGATGTTAAAAGGGTCTGTCAAATCCCTTGGGAATTGAAGTGTTCCACTTGGAACTTTAAGCAGAAGCCTATTGTTTATGTTAGATTCTGTTTGTGGCTGTGTGGAGGCTGTCTCACAGTTCAGAATGAACAGAACTGTGTACACCTGGGGAGTGAGCCTCCCCTTGGTCTGTCCTGTGTGTGTCGGGGTGGGGGAGTCTATATGACTCCCTTTAGAGGAAGAGTTGCTTGTGTTTCCTTCCTGGTGGAGGCCATCTTCCTTGATGAGTTCTCACCCCAAGCTCTCTGTCCTGTTGGGGAGAAACTTATGCAAGCTCAGGTTCCCCAGGCAAGAGCTGGCCTAGAATGTTCCCTTTCATTGCCCATTGGTTGGGGAGGTGGGGGTCAGGTGCAGATCTACATTTCTGGGGTGTCTGTGGACCTCAGAAATAGGACAAAACAAGAAGCAGAAATGCCAGCGATGCCCTAAGCACGGGGGACGGGGTTCCGGAAGGGCAGCAGCGGAAGTGGGGGGGAATGCTGTGGCCACAGGCCTTGGTGTCCTAGGATCAGCTCCGGGATGCAGCAGGTAAGGCTGGTGCTGGGTTCTTCTGCCTCTTCAGATTTTTGACTACGTCTTCATCTTGTACTACGTGCTAGAGCTGCTGTTCAAGGTGTTCGCGCTGGGCCTGCGGGGCTACTTGTCCTACTGTAGCAACGTGTTTGATGGCATCCTCACCATTGTCCTCCTGGTAAAGTCCGTGCAAGCTGGGGTACCCCTCCTGGCAGCTGCGTGAGCCTGGCTGGCAGCTTTGTCTGGGCCCTTTGGGTTTATAGTGTAGTATAGATATATCAGATAGTATTATGGACTACCCAGGAGGAAGCAGGGCTCCTGGCTTGAGGGATTTAGGGTGAAGTGTGTGATGGGATGCAGGAACTTTGATCCCATTGTGTGCGAGTGCTCCAGGGGCTGGACTACCACTTCTCATCCTGAGGGAGGTCCAGCAGGACCCAGCGCTATTGGCAGCTAATGCAGCCCCTGGCGCAGCCCTCCAGTGCCACTGGTTCACAGTGCAGCCTATAAAGTGAGTGTCAGGGGTCTCAGCCACCCAAGTTGCCCTTGAGAATCCATGAACTTTCTTTCTGGGAGTGAGGGGCTCACACTTGGTGTGGGTTTTACAGCAATGACCTCAAGTGACATTTCGAGACCCAGTGGTCCCTGAGGACATGCATAGAGAGACTTACTTGAGCCAGGAATTCTGGTCCATCTATGACTAAGTCCTTCTGAAGTCCTTCTGAAGTCCTGACTCCTGAAGCCAGAGTGTTCTGGCTGGCAGAAGTCTGACATCTGGATGTATGGGGCCAGGCCTGAACTCTTGAGTTCCACTGCATGCTCAGGAGATGCTCTAAAGTCTTGGGATTCTGTTGCACGCTGCCTGGGATGGCACTGCTGGAGGTGCCACCTGGGTTGGCAATGCTGGACGAAGCCCCCTTCTCTCTGTGGTTTAGGTTTTGGAGATTTCTACTCTGGCTGTATACCGATTGCCGCACTCAGGATGGTATGTGATTGCAGAGAACCTGGGGGATACCACCTGAGCAGTGACCTGTCTCACTGTATCCCGGTGACAGATTCCAGTACCACATAGAGCCCCTGGACACTGGCATGTGCCATTCTACCACAGGGCTGTTGGACTGTGGGCTGAGTCTGCCCTGCGTGGGGGACACGCAGAGTTGGACACCACTCCTCGTTCAGGCAGTCCCCTTTGCAGTGGCTTGCTGGGCAGTGGTGTTCCCTTGTAAGGCATTCTAACAAGTGGCCATGTCCCTTCTTCCCTGCCATCCAGCATGGAAAATGTGGCCCAACTCAGGTCTGGGGAGTCTGGGGTCAAAGACGGATTGGGCTGGGTCCTTTGGCTGTAGTGTGGGAAGATCCCCTTGCTAGTACCTGCCCAGCATATGGCCTTGGCTTATCCTGTGCTCTGAGTGTCTGTTTATTTTTTGTAAAAGGGTGTCCCTGACTTCCTGAGGCGTTAGGGCATTGTTTGAGCCCACTGAGACCCATTCTTACTCTACTGACAGACTTCTGGGTAGGATTCAAGGACTTTTAGCATAGCCAATGGGTGCTAGGCTTATACTGGTGCCTTGGTGCATGAGCCTGCCCTGTGCCGAGGATGGCACATTAAATTGCCATGAGAGGCTCCTATGAGTCAAGACTTGGCTAGCATAGGCCTGTAGTCACTTCTGTCTACTTTGGATCCCTGCCCTGCCTTGACTTAGACAGTGACACAGTTGGGAGAAACTTCTTAGGGCTGGGGGTTCAGCATTGACCTGCAGAGTTGCCTCTGGGGTGTCTGCTGGGATAGCTTGGAGATGTGCAGGGACAGTCCGCCCATGTTGCCAGGCAGGAGCCATGAGAGAGCAGCGATCCTGTTTCTGATGTGAGCCAAGCCCTCCTCAAGCTTTGTCCCATCACCTTGAGAGTTGTGAGGGTGACATTTGGGGTGAGAATGGCTTCAGAGAAGCCATGGGGACACTGGAGTCCAGTGGCAACCACAGAGTTGGGTCAGGACTAGATCATAGGATAGGAGGTTGGGCCAGAAGTCATAGGCCCAGATGGGACAGAGCCAAAGGTCAGATAATAGGTTGAGGTTGGGACAAGCTTCCTGTTAGTCCTTTCGAAACTGAGCTCGGCAGATCTGGGACCTGGGCATTGAATACCATCTCTGCCTTCATGCTATGGGGTTGCTCTGGGAGATGTGACCATGGCCATCAGTGCTAGGAGGTGTGACCGTGGCTGTGACTGTGCTGGGAGGTGTGACCGTGGCTGTGGCTGTGCTGGGAGGTATGACCGTGGCTGTGACTGTGCTGGGAGGTGTGACCGTGGCTGTGACTGTGCTGGGAGGTGTGACCGTGGCTGTGACTGTGCTGGGAGGTGTGACTGTGGCTGTGGCTGTTAGAAGGTGTGACCATGGCTGTGACTGTTCTAGGAGGTGTGACTGTGGCTGTGGCTGTGCTGGGAGGTGTGATTGTGGCTGTGGCTGTGCTGGGAGGTGTGACTGTGGCTGTGGCTGTTAGAAGGTGTGACCATGGCTGTGACTGTTCTAGGAGGTGTGATTGTGGCTGTAGCAGTGCTGGGAGATGTGGATGTGGTTGTGGCTGTGCTAAGTATGGCTGTAGTTATGGTGTGGCTGTGGCTTTGGCTCCCTGGGCACTAGGTGTGAGAAGGGTATGGCTAGGCTCAGTCTCCCACCTCCTGGGAGCTTTTTCTGCCTAGTGTCCATACAGTTACTGTTGCTGTCTGTTTGCCCCTACTACCTAGCTGCTCCGTTCCCCTGGACCTCCTAACATGGCTCCTGTGTCTTCCTAGGAAGCCCAAGCAGTATGGCCCCCTGTCGCTGTGGGACATGACACGGCTAGTGAACACACTGATTGTGTTCCGTTTCCTACGCATCATCCTGAATGTGAAGGTATGTGCGCGCGCACACACACACCCACACACACACACCCACACCGTGATCTGGGGCAGGGGCACTCATCACCAGGGAACACACGTTCAAGCCCCCTTAGCGTTCTTGAGCTGCTTGGGTGGGGGTCACTGGATCAAGAGCCCATACTTCCATTTCTTTTAGCTTCTGGGTCACAGAGATGCAAATCATGTCTCAGTGGGCCGGCAGGCAGAGGGTGGTCACAGGGTCTGGATGCGGCTCTAAAAGGGACCTGTGACTCAGCACCCACAGGAGGCGGGGCATATTTGGGGGATATGTGAGCTTGTGTGTGAGTGTGGGTGTGAATGTGTATGGGTATGTAGGGTTTCTTTTGTGGTGGATGTGTACAGGATGTATGTAGTGTGGGCATCTAAGGGAATGTGATGTATGTAGGAGTGTAGGTGGCCTTGAGGTGGTGGTGTCCAAGTGTGTGTGGATTGCTATGGGGTAGCTTGCTGGTCCCCCCTGCTCTCCTAATCAGGGTGAGGGTGTGTGTTGTGGAGTGCACTGTTGTCTCTGGGGCAGGAAGAGTCAGACTAAACCCTCTTCCTACCCACAGCCAATGGCCATAGTAACCAGTACCGTCCTAGGCCTGATCCAGAACCTGAGGGCATTTGGTGGGATCCTGGTGGTAAGTTCTGGCCGGGTTGGCTCTGTGTTGTCTAAGTGGCATGTGTCTGGCCTGTCTTCGCTCTGGTGAAGTTCACAGCAGTGCCACGATGCCAGACTTGGTCCCTTCCTTTCAGAGAGGACCTGGGGATACTATCCCGACTCTATTCCGGGGTCCTGTGGTAACTGCCCAGTCCCTCATGACTCCTGGGTCTTGCACCACAGTGAGAAACAGTGAGAAAATCACAAATGGTCTATCCAGGGCCCACACAGCCCCCATAGGCCCAAGCTTGAGATTTTGAAAGATGCTCTTTGTAGGCATATTTCAGGGCTTGTAGCCATGTGTGCCAGGCAGAAGCCGAGATGTTCCTGGGCCTCAGGTGAGGCCAGATGGCCTGGTGTGTCCTCTCTGATAGCAGGCCTACAACTGTGGAACTTGAGAAGCACCTAGACCTCCTGGAGAGCTAGCCTGGTGCTTCTGGTCTCCCTGGTGTCCATCTTTAGGACAGGGTCGTCTGTGTGCTCCCCTGACTCCCCTCCTTTGGCTACACTGACAGCAGCTCCTCCTCCAGGTGGTATATTACGTGTTCGCCATCATTGGGATCAACCTATTCCGAGGTGTCATTGTGCCTCCTAACAACAGCAGGTAAGGGACTGACTGTGCCTGAGGCCATTAGCCTATGGATACCTCTTTGGGCCTTTTCCCTAAACATCTCTTGTAGGTGTCCTGTCCTGGGTCTCCTGAGGGTCCCCTTCATGAGGGTCTAGGCTATGACAGGCCTGCGGTGGGACTGGGGGTAGAGTGCCATCCTTAGAACCTGGAGTCTAAGATTGCAGGGATGGGGGCCTCTTGGGTCATGTCATATACTCTCACTGTGTGGCTGGAAAGTAGCATCTTCCTTTGCCTTTCCCCTGGGACCTAATAGTCATGCTGGACTGAAGAGTGGGCCAGTGCTTGGCTGCGCAGGCCCCTGGCTACAGCTCCTAACCAAGGGACATTGTGTCTCCAGCCTGGTGCCTAACAACAGCTCAGCCCCGTGTGGAAGCTTCGAGCAGCTAGGTTACTGGTCCAACAACTTTGATGACTTTGCTGTGAGTCCTCTGCCTTGTCCCCCGGGCCAGCTCACCTGGAACACCCCTCTGCCTTGCCCGTTCCCTGGGTTCCTCCTGTGCCTTGTCCTGGGCCCTCCTGGACCCTACCTCTGCCGCCCCACAGGCTGCTCTGATCACGCTGTGGAACGTGATGGTGGTGAACAATTGGCAGGTACTCCTGGACGCCTATCGGCGCTACTCAGGCCCGTAAGTCTCTCTGCCCCAGTGCTGGCTCTGGGTTGGGCAGACTGTGGAGGGAACTAGTCCCTGACTTTAGAAGGCTGGCCAAGCCGTGTCCTGGCAGGCTTCAGCCTTCATCCACACTACACTGGGAGATAGCCAGAGTCCTGGGCTCGTGCACTCTGGGGGTGCAAGTGTGAGAGAAATAAATTGCCTGGGGTTTCTGGGGATTTCCATGGGGTGGAGTCCTAGGGGAACAGCGAGGTAACTCATTTAGCTCATAGCTTGGAGAACTTTGACCAGCTCAGCAGGGCAGCCTGGGTTTAAATCTAACTTTCACCTCATGCTAGGCTTCCTCTGGTGTCTCTGGCACCTCCAAGTCCTGGCGTTATGGGGACATTACAACACTCTACACTGGAGTTAGCAGCAGGGTCCGATGAGGTCCTTACCGATGTGCGTTGGGAGCTGTTTGACTTTCTGGAATGATCTCACCCCACTCAAAATGAGTCCTGGCCTCCTTGTCCTTCACAGGTGGTCAACGGTGTATTTTGTGCTATGGTGGTTGGTGTCCTCTGTCATCTGGGTCAACCTGTTTCTGGCTCTGCTTCTGGAGGTACCGGATATCTCTGTCCAGGCCTGAGATTGCCTACTGAGCTGTTTAGAGTCATGGTGGGTGGGTCTCACTACCCACCAAGACTACAGGCGGAAGGGAACCTGGCTGGGGGCCTCTGAGCTGCTTGTCCCGGCTCATCTGTCTTAGGGTGCCTATTGCTACAGCGAAATATCAAAAAACAAGTTGGGGAGGAAAGGGTTTATTTGACTTAGACTTTCAAATCACTGTTCATCACTGAAGGAATTCGGGATAGGAACTCAAACAGGGCACGGATCCTGGAGGCAGGAGCTGATGCTACTTAGTAGCTTGCTCAGCCTGTTTTCTTATAGAACCCAGGACCACCAATCCAGGGATGGCACCACCCACAATGGGCTGGGCCCTCCCCCACTGATCACTAAATGAGAAAATGGCTTACAGCTGGATCTCATGGAGGCGTGCCCTCAGCTGATGACTCCAGCTTGTGTCAAATTGACACACAAAACTAGCAAGTACAAGGTCTTGGGGTTCTCAGGACCCCAAGCTGTTTTGAGGATGGAGTTGGGCATCTTGTTATTCCACTGGTGTGGATCTCATAGGCTCTGCATCCAGATGTCCAGGGTGAGCTGCTTCCTACATTGACTGTACTGTGACTCTAGACTGGGCAATGGGATTCTGGCTCCAAAGCTGGTGCCATACTTATATCTTTCCTCTTGCTCCAGAACTTTCTTCACAGATGGGACCCTCAAAGTCATAATCAGCTCCTTGTTGGTACCCGGCAGACGACCTATCAGATGTCTGTGGAGCTCATGTTCAGGTGTGGACCTTGGGAGTGTGCCTCCAGGCATGGAGCTGACGGGGCGGGGGTGGGGGGGAGCCTCCACTGAGTCCCCTGGGCTGGCACTGAGCCTCCATCCAGTCCCCTGGGCTGCTGCTGAGCTGGCAAGAGATGCTCACAGCTTAACACAACTGTGGACACTTGTGCTTCCACTAGGGACGTGGACTCTGCTCTACTTGGGGTCTAGCATGTAGCAGGGACCATCTACCCTCCCGTGTCTTATAGCTTCATATTGATGCCATGGGACACAGCCAGGTGGCCTGAAGGAGCCACACCTTCTCCTCTTGTGGCATCATGGAGGTTGTCCTCTGCTTGCATAGAAGAGTGGCTATTGTCCCACGGCCATCTGTCATGGGCTCCATGTCCTTTCACCAGCGTTGGCTATGTGCCAGCTGTAGTCGTGCCAGTGGGTGTGAGAAGAACTCTCGAGGCTTCCAGGCTTTCACTTAACTCTTTTTGGGGCAGGGTAGAGTCCAGGCTGTGTACATGGTACTCTCTACATCGAACCCTTCTTAGCCTCCTCTAGTGTGCTCATCACTGCACACAAAGGTTTTAACATCTGCATCTCCCTGAGGCAGCACCTATTCGCCGATGTCCCCATGCCCTGCCACAGACTGTTTTGAAAGTACCTCCTGGTTGGAGACTTGAGTCCTGGGTACTCGTAGACCATGCCTGCTGGCTTGGCTTGCAGCCTCTGAGAGACCCAGGCACATCTCTCCCTGAAGCTTTTGTGTGATTGCCCCTACTCTGCAGGGACATCCTAGAAGAGCCCAAGGAGGAGGAACTGATGGAGAAGCTGCACAAGCACCCGCACTTGCAGCTGTGCAGGTGACATCAGAACGGCCTCCCAGCCAGGGCGGCAGGACAGAGATGCTGGCCTAGGGCCCACGCTGTGGAGGCAGCAGCTGGTAGAGACCAAGCAAGAAAAGACGGTGCCTGGGACAGACCACTTGGGGATGGACGTGGGTGCAGTCTGTGGCCTTGGCAGGCCCGTGGTCAGCACTGCAGGGCAGCCTCCCTCCAGTTGCTGCTCTCCCAAGCTGCTCTGGTGAGACTTACTAAGGAGAGAGAGTGATTTTTGCAGGGACCTCAAAGCCCAGGAAGTGAGAAGGCCTCATCTCCCCTTGTCCCCCACAGGCTGTGTCTTCAGCTTCCGTGGACTCTGTGAACCCAAGCCTGCAGAGGGCCTGTGGGGGGTAGCTGGCAGGTCTTTGAGGCATCAGGGTGGTTTCACACGTCAAGAATGTCACCGTTTTGTTTCACAGTGTCTGTGAATGCGATCGGGTATGCCTGGGGGTCGCATTGCCAATCTTTTCTGTTTTGTAAAGAATGAGTTTGTTCTTATTCTGTCCTTGCTTCTCTCGGGGCTGTCGGGTAGGGTTGCTTAGCTTGTGGACCACACAAGAGCATCAGGTTGTGAGGCGTGATCTCTTACCTGTGTGAGACGTACCTGTTAGTGCACAAAGTCTAAGCGAGAGGTGGTTCTGTTTTGTGTGTCCTCAGAGTTTGTGGCAGAGGGAGCTGGGGTAGGAAGGTAGGGGAATTCATTAACTCAGGGCACTAGACTGGCCTTTGGTTTTCTCATTTCAGATGCCAACTCTGGGGGTTGGTGATAGAGATTCTTGGGATCTTTCAGGCGACAGGCTGGCTCCAAGTGATGTCTGCCATGGGCAATGATAAGGAATCGGAGGCTTGGGTACTACTCTTTTGGGGCTGTGAGCCTCTGGATTTTCCCATGGTCTGGGAGAGGAATCTGCGGGAAGTGTAACTGAGGTATCTTCAAAAAAGCCAGGAAAGCACAGTACTGAGGCGTTGAGTGCTGGAGAGAGGTGCTGGCTCCCTGCAGGAGGCTCAGGGAGTGACTTGGGAATCCTGGTTCTTTTACTGACATCCTCATTGTGGGGCCTTTGGGACTCCTGAAGACAGTCTGAGACCTGCCCCTCCCAGGAGGCTGGATTGGAGAACACACCCAATTGTCCTGAGCTGGACCAGATGGGCCACACGTGGCAGTGGTGTCTCTGTTCTGACCTTGACTCTAAGCCTTGGGTGCCACCTGCTGGTGAGATGGGCTCTGCTGATGCTACCAATGTCTGGTGGCCTCTGGGACTCCCCAGAGACTGCTCCTTGGTTTTCCTGGCCAGCACCTCAGAGTAAGCCTGGTCTGGTACCTGCTGAGTGGATGGCAGTGCCTGGTTTTGCTTCTGCTGTCCAGTGCTGCCCAGTCCACCCAGTACCACCACCCTTTTTGTGCAGAAATCTACCCTGCAGGTCATTTTAATCGGGCAGAGCTGGGTGCTGGGATATGATTTCCACTCAGACTGCCCTGCCTGCAGTAAGGGTAGCTGAGATGACGTCTCTGGAGTGTGTGTAGAGGGACTGGAGGAACCCCAGCGATATTCTGGGGGCCTCCTCGGCTCACTATCCTGTCCATTTCAAATTCTGCAAGTCACCAGTGGCCTTGTGGGGGCTTTATGCAGCATGGGTGGCCATGGGGGCAACCTGTTTAAGGAGTGTGGGCTTGCGCTTCTCAGGGAGCTGTCATGGTGGTTCTGCAGACTCCCCCCAGCTTTCTGTGGTCACCTTTTGGTTCTGGGTGCAAAAGCTGGGAGCCGGAAGCACGCAGCGTAGACAGAACTGGTGTCATAGCCCTGATGGCTGTCCAAAGAGAAGGTGGGAGTGGGGGATGACTGAGGCCAAAGAGCCTGGCGCTAGGGTCTGAGTCCCACTAGGGGCCTTTTGTCCCTAAGGCCAGAGCATCCTGGGGTCATCAGGAGGCATGTATGACCCTGGTGGCGCAGGAGGCTGAGCCTGTCACGGCAACAGTGAGCTCATGGTGGGGTAGAGTGGGCACCCTTGGCCTGAACCCTGAGTTTGGACTGCCCACATTTCTGCAGCGCACTGGGGTGAGTTGTCAGACATGTCTAGTGCACACTGGGAGATAATGAGGGGACCCGAGGACACGTGGAGACCACATCCACCTGGGTGACTAGGTCCAGCTAGTGCTTGCGACCTGAACACTGAGACATTTTCATTTTCTACACTGGATATCTTGGGCAGTAGCTGATCCCAGGGGCTCCTGCAAGTCCTTGACACCCAATCCCAGGTCATGTTGTAAGCACTGCCAGGACTTGTGTGACTGTGTGGCTCTGCCTCCCTGGCTTTTGTGAGCCCTCTAGGCTATACCTGGGACTTCACTAGGTTCTTGGAAGAGCAGCCAGCGCTCTTTACTGCTGAGCCTTCTCTCCAGCCTAGCACTTCCATGGTCAGCCCTACACAAGGAATCTTCTGGTTTCTTCTTTCTCCCAGTGGTTGCTACCCTCCTTAATGTGTGTCTCTGAGCATTTTCAAAAACAGTTAAGCAGTGAACACTTGCTACTGGTTCCTGTCACTGCCCACTGCCTACCCCCTCCCTTGCAGAGCTACCCCAAGTATCATCCTGGGGGGGGTCACATCAGCCTCTAAAGGTGGCCTTGGGAACCTTTGTCTCCATCAGCAGTTCTCAACTTGTGTATCATGATCCCCAAAGGGGTCACATATCACACATCCTGCATACCAGATATTTACATTACGATTCATAACAGCAGAATTATGGTTATGAAGTAGCAACAAAATAATTTTATGGTGGGCGGGGGTCACCACGACATGAGGAACTGTAAAGCACTGCTCCAGATCTTTGCTGTCTGGCTAGAAACGCCAGCACTATTACAGGGAGGTTTCAGCTGCTTTGTTGCCATGGGATCACGTGCGTTTCTAAATTCTGACCAGATGGGCGAGGTGGCATATACCTTTAATCCCAATATTCAGGAGGCAGAGGCGGGTGATCTCTGAGCTGCCATCCTGGTCTTCATAGGACAGCCAGGGCTACATAGAGCAATTCTGTGAAGCAAAACAAACCCCACCTTGGGAGAAGACGCTAGCCTTCTCCGTTTTATCTTTTCATTATTATCATTACTGTTGTTAATTGACACAGGGCAGTCCTCCTCTCTCAGCACCCCACATGCTGAGACACTGTGAGCCCTGGTCTGAGTCTCCAGAGAGCTGCTGGCAGTTCGGCCTGTCTGTGTTAACAGTGCAGTTGGCCTCTGTGATTGGGTGCTCTGCCTTGGCTTTAGCTCACGGTCACAAATATTTGAAGGCTGACTATGCCCAGGTCTTGCTGCTGCCCCATGGCGTATGGCGGGCACTGAGTAAGCTAGGGTAAGCTGCAGATGTCCTCTCGATGCGGTTTGAAGTATGCAGGCTGACATGAGAACACCGGATCACTTCACGTGAATCTTGGTGTCCTGGGTGGGACTGGGTCCATCCTGGAGCCGTACCCTGAGGCTACTGAGATGCCAGTAATCCCGGGGTCCACAAGAGAACCCCTGCCCAAGTGCCAGAGGAGGTGACCAAAGGATGGACTCATCTCTTGGGGAGATAGGGCTGGGGAGAAGGAGCCTTGGGTTCTGGACTGGATGCATGGTCATGTGTTTGGCTTTATTGTGACATGTTGAACATTAACATGGGACAGAAAGAGGAACAAGAGAGGTGTTGGGCAGGGAGCGAGGTTGGGTCCTCAGGCAGCTTTGTTTCAGAGCTGGGCTAAGTTTTCTGTTTTCCTCCAAGGGTGGCTGTGTGGACAGATCGTGTGCATGGTACTGAGTCTACTGCTGAGGTGGGGGGTGACCTGGTCCTCCTGGGGAGGGTGTGGCTGGGGGTGTCCTGGTCCTCCTGGGGAGGGTGTGGCTGGGGGTGACCTGGTCCTCCTGGTGGGTGTGTGTGGCTGGGGGGTGACCTGGCCCTCCTGGGGGTATGTGTGGCTGGGGGTGACCTGGCCCTCCTGGGTGGTGTGTGTGGCTGGGGGTGACCTGGCCATTCTCGGGAGGGTGTGGCTGGGTGTTCCTGGGGTGGTGGTGTGTGACTGACCAGGGCTGTGGAACGGAAGTGGTGGCAGGAGAGAGTGTCGGGGCAGCATCTGGATGGGGTCAGGGTAGCCTGGTGGGGGTTGGAGTATGTATATCATCCACTGCACCTGGGGTCAGAGCAGTGTTCGCTGGAGCAGGAATCCTGCTGTTCTCTCCAGAAGTGTCACCTGTGGGAGCAGATGGTGGCCACTGGGCATCTTCCTGTTTTCTCCTGATAGCTTCCTCTCGGTGGCTGGCTGGGATCCAGGACTGATGCCTGATCTGTCGCTGGGGCCCAGGAGCAGGGCGTTTGATGTGGTCTTGGTCCGCTCCTCCTAGATGCAGTTGCTTCTCCCTAGACCAGCCCGGATTGAGTTTCCAGCCTTGGAGATAATTGGCGGTTTTTATTCACAGGTTAGAACAGCACCTTGCTTCAGAAAGAAAGCCCGTGGGGCTTGGGCACACCTCTGCTCTTAAAAGTTAGAGGAGGCGTGGGGCTCAGGTGACTCGCCTCACATCAAAGTGGCCAGCAGACGCTGGGGGCAGCGGGCGGGCATTGCCCTGCCCTCTAATCACACTTTGGGGCCTGAGCTTTTCTTCTGGGTCATTCAGTCAGAGCCTCACCAGGCAGGAATAGGACACACCTGTGGGGCACCTGCCCTACAGCAGTTGGTTAATCCATGCAGGGACCTGGGCCCCAGCAGCACCTGTCTCTAGGGGAGCCAGGTCTTCCTCCCTTCCTCCTCGGCCCTGTACCTTTGGCCTTTAATGGGAAGTGGGGGTTCTCATATAGCTCAGGCTGGTCTTGTACTCACCTTGAACTTCTGGCCCTCCTTTCTTTGCCCCTCTAATGTTGGTATTATAGCCCTGTACCACTGAGCCCAGCTTAGGTAGATAGTGCTGGGATCAAGTCCAGGGCTTCATGCATGCTAGACCAGTACTTCACCAATCAAGCCCCAGCCCCAACTGTGGCCTCTTCTTTTGGGGGCACAGCTAACAGATGCATTGTCTTCCACAGAGGACAGGCCAAGAACATTCTACCTAACCAAACCCAAGTCCAAGGCCTAGCAGTCACCAAGAGGAGGACTGTGTGGGCATTGTTCAGGACCCAGCCTCAGAATTTCTGATTGAGGAGGTGGCCCAGGGGTCCTTCCTGGAGTGTGCCTGGCTTCCCTCCTCCTCTGCCTCTTGCTTATTTTCAGCAAACAGAAGGAACATCCACTGTTTCTGTTGGGTTTATTCTCAAAGCAGACTCGGAGAGGCACAGTTAACTCAGGCCCTTCCCCAGAGGTCAGACGAAGCAAATGGTTCATCAAGGAAGAGTGTTGCTGTGGGCCCCTCCCCGAGGATCTGTTTTCAAGCCTCCTACTGATACATGGAGAACCTGGTTGGAGCATGTCCTGTGCAGGGGCAGAGAGGGACTCGGAGTTTCTGGGTAGAGGTTGAATCCCACGGCTCATC